GTATTTATCAAGTGCCAAGCGGTGGAGATATGAAATACTCTGGACGCTGTTAGGGTGACCCAGAGACGCCTGTTCCGCGGAGTCTGAACGTCGGTTCAATTACAAATTCTACATGGCAAGAATTTGCGAAAAGGAAGCACTCTTATTGGATTAGTCGGAAATCCGAGGGATCTTTCCCCGACATCCGTGCAGCGTGTTTGTAAGCGGCCGGCCTCAATTAGGCACGAGATGTCAGCTTGCGTGGAGCAACGTGAGAGAATACGACAAAGATCGTCTCTTTCGAATACGCATGTTGTGCATCAGTCGATTTCGAAACAGCAAGACTTGAACTACCTGGGACATGGACCAGTGCCTAAACTTTAAAATCCGCCGCATGACAAATGAGATACGGAGATAGGGAGGATTCATACAACATGGAAGCGGTGTATATAAACCAGCCATTGCCTCGCCTCAGCTGTGAAACTATAAGCATATCCTCACTATCTCTTTCAATCTCTTTCAAAACCAATTGACATCATGAGATTGCAGCACGCTCTTTTCACGGGGGCTTTAATGCCTCTGTTGGGGGAAGCAAGGTCGTTGAATTTCGACTTCCCTTACAATGCAACAACCCCTGTCCCATTCACCATCTCAGTCGACAAGCAGTTCATTGAGGAGACCCAACACAAGGCAAAGCTCTATCGTCCCTCCCCGGACCTCAAGGACGACAGCAATGCCGAGTGGATTGAGGGCCCGCCGCGTGAGACTATGGTTACCTTGGCCAAAGACTGGGTCGAGAGTTATGACTGGTTCGAAGTGCAGGATGAGATCAACTCCAACTTCTCCCACTTCGCCGTTACTGTTGATGGGCCTGAAGATTGGAGCCACCCGGTTCCGCTTCACTTCGTTCATGAGCGGTCTGATGATCCAGATGCCATCCCGCTACTCCTCTTGCACGGCTGGCCTTCTTCGCATCTCGAGTGGTCCAAAGTTATCAAGCCTCTGTCATCAGGGAATGGGTCTTCCAACGTCACCTTCCATGTTGTTGCACCGGATCTGCCTGGATATGGGTTCAGTCCTGCCCCAGAATACGCAGGCCTCAGCCCCAGCCGGATGGGAATAGCATTTGACAAGTTGATGAAGACACTGGGCTACGAAAAATATGGCGTCGCGAGTACGGATGTAGGCTGGATGGTCGGCATGTGGATGGCCCACGACGTGTCCGAAAGCTTCATCGGCCACTTCACCGACTTCTTCCTGATGCAGCCCAACTCAACAGACCTGGAGCGGTACGCGCAGAACCAGACGACGGAAGAGGAATCGGCCTTCATCAGCTCCATCACGACGTGGTTCGGCACGCGCTCCAGCTACGCGACCGTCCACTCCCAGGCGCCTCTGGCCATTGGGCAAGCCATGTCGGACACGCCGGTTGGCTTTGCCGGGTGGATTTTGCAGCTGATGCATCCCATTAGCGGAGCATACGTGTACAGCTCAACGGAAGTCATCACGGATGCTTTGATGTTGTGGATTCAGGGTGTATGGGGAGGCCTGCGATCATACAAGGAGTGCTTTGACGTGAGTGGAAATGTGATCCTTTGTCTGAGTGAAGCAAATACTGACTGAAATCTCAGCCCAAGGCCCAAGCCTTTCCCGTAACTACGGTCCCAACTGCACTCACGCAGTGGGGAGGCCCTACAACCACGGGCATCGAGAACTTCAACTTTTTGGTAAGCATCTGCCCCTATCGTCGATGAGACATAGCCAATGTACTGACCTTAGAAATAGCCACGCGACTGGGCGGAGCGTTGGGTCAATGTCGTATATATGTCGAGGCATGATGCTGGTGGCCATTTCCCTGCGGTCAGTGAGCCTGATGCGTGGGTTCGGGAAGTCCGCAACTTCTTTGGTGGTCTCATCACGGGCGCGTTCTAGTAGAGGCAAAATCGAGAACATGATGAGATACTATGTGGCACTGTGGGACAGGAAGACTATCGACATAGAACTTCAGCAGAAAAGCGGCATAAGTGAGCTTGGTAATTGACAGATTAGCAAAACAATCATCATAAATCGGTTACTTTTTCCATTTGTTAGGGTTGTTATTGTCATGGAATTTTAGAGGCGTTCTTATCGATAATCTACAACGGACTCCGATCGCGCCCAGAGCGAAATGTGGGGTTCTTAGCTGAGATTTTAGAGGCTAGCGGTGAGATTTAGCGGCCATCAACAGTGGCTCAGTGAGTTCCTACAGCGAGGCATCAGTGAGTCGAGCTGCGTCGCAGCCAATCCAATCGCAGCTCTTTGTCATCTGCCTGTAATATAGTGATGGGAATGACGCGGCAATACTCCCCTCACAATCTATCCTACTTAATGCTGCTGCAGGGAGACTAAATTAAGAATTAAAATGAAAATCAATCCTCGAGTGGATTCAGCACAAAGCTGTGAGTGGTCTGTGCACCGCAATAGCGTGCTCGTATCAGGCCAATCGAGTCTCTCGCTGGATTGTAAAACAGCGACAGTCATCAATCAGGGGTAATTTGTCTTAATTTCGAGCGATAAAAAAAAAACAAGAGGTGAGCAACACACACTCCCTTCCCTCTGTGCTCGTCAATTGTGCTCAGCCCCCCTCACACAACTCCAGCCATGAGCGACAAGAAGAATGACGACCTTCCCCTGCGATCGCCCAGAGGCGGGTCCCCCTTGAATGGGAATGGGGACGCGGGTAGATTCGCCCCGAAGCAGCAGCACCAGGCCGGCGCCTCGCTCAAGGCCTCGTGGGCGTCGATCGAGGAGAACGGCACGGTTGCCGTCCTCGCCTACTGCTTCGCCTCAACCAGCATGACGCTAGTCAACAAGTTTGTTGTGTCTGGCAACTCCTGGAATCTCCACCTGCTGTACCTAGCCATCCAGGTGAGTACTCTAGATGGCCTCCTCCAGCTCGGCCTATCCCGCTGATAGTCTTGACCCGTAGCACATCATAGTCACTGTCGCTGTTGTATTGATGCAGCAGTTGGGCATCATCAGCGGTGTTGACCTGTACAACCCCTCTAAAGCCAAGAAGTGTAAGCTACAATCTGTCCTAGCATTTCCCTCTAGCATCTGACTGATCCTCCCTACCCAGGGTTTCCCATCGCGTTGATGCTGGTCACCATGATCTTCACGGGAAACAAGGCTCTTCAATTCCTCTCTGTGCCCGTCTACACCATCTTCAAGAACCTCGCCGTTGTCGTCATTGCCTACGGAGAGGTCATTTGGTTCAACGGCAGCGTCAGCCCCCTCAGCCTGGTTTCCTTCATTCTCATGGTCCTCAGCTCTGTCCTCGCCGCCTGGTCCGACTTCAGTGACGCCAAGAGCTCTGCCGCCAACTCCCGTCTCTCTACCTTGAATGCCGGATACTTCTGGATGCTGATCAATGTCTTGGCCGCCTCCACTTACGCTCTTGGCATGCGTGGAGGCATGAAGAAAATCAATCTCAAGAACTGGGATGGTACGTTCGCTGTATCCTTGTTGTTTTCCTCGTCCGTCAGCTCTAACGTTGTTCCGTCCGTCTAGTCATTTACTACAACAATGTTCTCACCATCCCTCTCCTCCTGGGCGGCTCCCTTTTCCTCGAGGACTGGTCCTCCGCCAACCTGGAGCGCAACTTCCCACCCGCAGCTCGCCAGAGTCTGATCATTGGCATGATCTACTCCGGTCTCGGTGCCCTCCTCATCTCCTACTGCACAGCCTGGTGCATCCGGGCGACATCCTCCACCACCTATGCCATGTCCGGCGCGCTCAACAAGCTCCCCATGGCCATCGCCGGCCTCGTCTTCTTCAAGGAGCCTGTGACGTTTGGTGGTGTCGTTGCTATCCTCATGGGCTTCGTGAGTGGCGTTCTCTACTCCGTGGCCAAGACCAGCAAGCCGAAGGAGAAGACAACCGATCTGCCCCTCACGAACTTGCCTCAGTCCAATGGCCAGCACCCCAAGTAAACGGCGTTGGGTGCAGGTTACAAAGGACAGGGCCTTAATGACATTTTCGATTCGGTTTTAGAACTTTCCAATTTAACATTTAAGCCGGTCCTGTCTCCTTGCCGCATTACACAGATTACAAGGATGGAATGGTGACCAACAAAGTAGTCACCATCGCGGGAGAGGCTAGATTCGCTGGTTGATATATATACGCCAAGGGCGCAGCGCACCTACACAAGGCGGAAAAAAACATTCAAAGCTTGGTAGAAGCTCGAAATGGATGCTTTATGTTTGTAGATTACCAAATATAGACTTCTTTATGTACCATCAGCATACAAGACACTGGTATTACCCAAAACTCAGCCTGCGATACAACCCTCGCCGGGAAGATCTAGTAGACTCTCGTCCATATGCCTGCAAAGCCACTGAGCCGGCTTCCCGCTAGGTGGAGAGACAGTGATGTTTTCTGCCCGAATGTTGTCACACGACTAAACAATATCAGTACCCAAAGTCACCCAAAGGCCAGGACGGTTCGGTGGGAATCCACTTACAGTTTCGGTAGAGCAAATAAGAGACCCAACAATGGGGTCATTCGACTTCGAGGTCGTTCCATAGAAGTTCTTGAACAACACGTCGGTAATGTTCATCTTCGACGGGAACTCCTCACAGCGAGTGGCGTTCTTCTCTCCATAGCATTGATCAATCTTGATGGCACCATCGTTGTTGATGTTCCCAAAAGTATCATACGTGACATTTCGGACGTATCCCGAGCCACCGCCGCCTCCAAGACCCGGCTGGAAATCGGTTTCTGACCCGGGCCAGACCTTGAGTCTGGCGCCGTCGGTTGCATTGCTCAGGGTCACGTTGTAGATGTATAGATTTTCAACAATGTCGAAATACTCGGGGTACTGTCCCAGGGAGCCGACGGAGATGCCGTGTGAGCCGCTGCACACCAGACCTGCATTACAACTATTAGTCTTCAACAATTCATGGAATACTCTCCCTGGGAACTAGCTTACCCTGGATAATAATATTCGTGCTGTTGGGCTTAAACGACACGCAGTCATCATCATGGTCGAGGTAGGAATTCTGGATAACGATGTTATCAGAGCGGTAGGTATCCCAGCCGTCAAGATTCTTGGCCGGATTTGAGCTTGTTGACCCAGCATGTACATCAATGTTAGATATTAGGATATCTGAACTATTAGCAATGAGATTGTGCCACTACGTGTAGCAGGTCAGCATCGTTGATCTCGTCGTGGCATCTTCTGAGTTAATGGTCCGGACTTACATTGGGCGAGTTCTTCATATTAAGACCTGTGATGCTTCCACCGTGCAACCCATCCGTCACCAGCAGCAGGGGACGCTCAAGTGTCTTATTGGTGGCAAACCGATCGTACCATGCCTGGCCATTGCCATCGAGCGTCCCGACGCCGGAGCCGTAAATGTTGATGTCCTCGCCCCCAATGACCCACCAGGTGGAAGATCCCTGGAACTGGAACTTGAACGTCCGCGGAAGCCAGTAATCGATATCGTCACAGAACTTGATGGTCCCCGTTATGGCGATATCCACGTGCTTCAAGAAACGGAGGTCCAGCGGTGAGCAGATCGTGTACTCTTCATCAAACACTACTGTGCCGCCGTCGTTGCATTCCTCGAAGGCAGCAAGGATCTTGGCCGAGTCATCCTTTCCTTTCGTGCAGCTAGGCTTCACAAAACACGTCTTTGTCCGCGGTGGAGATACGGGGAAAGCTTTGTAAGGCTGTAGAGGGCCGGGAGTGATGGTTGGGCGGGGAGGGGCTGTCCGTTCCAATGCAACGGCGGAGGATGCCCAAAGGCCGAGAAGACTAACGAACCGCATTGTGAATGAGATTCTTGAACCCGGATTGGTGTGGGATGAAACCTCAAAGAGCAACGTACCCTCCAGTAATTATAGTCTTCTCCGAACTTGCAGAGATCCCCAGCCTCCACAAACCCCCCGCAGGAGACGTAAAACAACTTGATCTCATCTGATTTGGCCTTCAGGCTAAACCCATGCCCCATGGAGATCAGGGGAAGAACCGATAGAGGGTCTTTCAAGCCAAGTTTCCCCAGTTGCAAGGCGTATCAATAGGTGTGATTGCAGCGCTAGTTCACGATGTGGTGACAGGGGTTTGCAACCCAAGTCTAACAATCAGTTTATTGGTGGAAAAAAGACATTATCTGGGAATATTTCTTGCGCTGGGCACTCCACACGATATTTCCATGCTTTCCGGCTAATATCTAAATGACCGTCTCAGCAACTCGTGAAGGATACAAACCAACCTATCGCCCCTTTGATCGAAATATTATATACTACAGGGGTTAGAAATCTAATACTCACTCTTAAAGATACGCTGAATGGAAAATTAGATTCCGATCTTTCTGTTAATCTCGACGCGATTACTTACCAGGCCGAAAAGGGTTAGGGTTAGGGGTACATAGAGAATGCGCCAGGTACAATCACCTTATCCAAGCCACTGACTATAAGTGCAGGAATATAATGTAACTAAAACTTGAAACTGCTGTATGGACTAGCTGCGTTGCAGGAGCGTGAGATAAGTCAAGTTTTAAACTCGTTGCTCTCGAGTAAAAAGCGATCAGTTCCCAAATAATCAGGAAATATCTCACATCCAATTAAAACCTTGGTCGGATTCGGTGATGCAGACACCCATTGTGTGCGCTCGTCTTGTTCTCATTCTGTGGCCAATCAACCTACAATACTAACAGCCGGCGCGACTGAAACAGTACCATCTCACCTTCTCATGTGTACACCAGTTCGTCTCAGGACTCATCCACTATTAGTATTGCCCGAAAGTCTGAAGGGTCCAAGACTGGTTCGCTAGAACCAAATGAATATATCCCGTACATGGCTCCGCAGAATGCACCCCCGACAGGAGGGAAAATAGTCAACGTCTCTGATGCAACTGTGGCACCTACTTCGGAGTTTGCTGACTGCAGGCTCAGTATGTAGTTTGTTGGCTTCGATTGAATCGATAGCTTTACTGGTAAGGAAGTGTCAAATTCCTTCCCAGCATCCAAGAATGGATACGTAACCTGGTTGTCACACAATTAGTATTGGGAAACTCCGCAAGTACATGGGGTCAATGTAGATCCTACCTTGAACTCTACATTTGTTCCTGTCGGCTCACGAAGGACAACCGTTTGCTTATAGCCGACACTATTTGAGTCCTTGACAGCAGTGACGCCAATCGATGCAAAGGAGTATTGATTCCACCAGAGCACAACTCCAGATTCGTAGCCCACCCTAGTTGGACGGAAATTCATTAAAGTGATGAATTTCTCGTTGTAGGAAGACTGCTTTCGAAGTAGCAGGGCAGGTGACTCAGGAGAAGTAAGGTTGTAGCAGTTGCCGTATATCCTGAGGACACCCGGCTCTTCAGTTAACGTATAGCAGGTTTTGATCGGCGTGTCTAGATGCGCACGGTTAGCACTGGCCTCTTAAACGGTCACTTAGGGTGATGGACTTATTACTTTTATGATACCACCCAAGCTCAAGTTCCGACTTGTCGAGATTCGCCTTCCACTTCACTCCACCACCAAACTCGACACTGGACAGCTGCTCGATTGGTTTACGTCCAGATGTACGAAGTGTGACATTTTGGCCATCATTGAAAATTGGCCAGTCATCCTTCCAGTCCACCTTCACCAAGAAAGTCTCGCGACCCATGGGGGGCTCCAGCCACTTGTTATCTTGATTCTTGACCGGCCGCACCCCCAGCATTACCGCCCACCAGTCTCCGTCCCCATCCTCAAAAATATCGCAATGGCCAGTCCGCTGCACCTCCTCATCTGGGCCGTTGTACCAAAGGGCCTTCCCCTGTCCCTCCCACGGGCCATACGGGCCCTCGGTGCTGCGAAAAGCCCACTCCTGGTGCCCTGCTTCTGTTCCGCCTTCTGCAGTGAACAGGTAATAGTACTTTCCCTTCTTGATTATGTGGGAGCCTTCTGAGACACCTAAAGGTGTCGATCGGATCAACTTGGGTGGCGTAAGCGTTCGGCCACTCGCAAGATCGATCTCGGAGATGTGGATGGCAAAGTCTTTCAACTTTAGCCCAGGGGTTCTTTCCTTCATCCGAACAGTGGTTGAAAGATACACCTTGCCGTCATCATCCCAGAACAAGTCTTGGTCGAACCCTGGATTATCAAAGTAGACAGGCTCTGACCAGGCGGAATCGTCCCAGATGTTGTCGGTGTAGACGTAGAACCCTCGCGGGAAAATCCTTTCATCCACCACCGGGCGATACCTTTGAAACACCCCATTCGTAAGATACCATCTCTTCTCGCTGGCTCGATATCGCAGGGTGCTTGCCCAAGAACCGGCACCCGGCTCGACCGTGCGCATATCTATCTGGCTCCGGCGATTGAGTGCATGGCCAATCAGGTCCCAATTGATCAAATCCTCGGAATGATAGATGGCTGCTCCAGGGAAATATTCAAACGTAGATGTTGATAGAAAGTACTGCGCAGGCTTAGTTTCCGTCGCGGGAACGACGCAGACGGTCGGATCCGGGTTGAACCCCTGGATCACCGGGTTGGTGAAGATGGCTTCGGCGGAGTCAGCCATCGCTATCAGGCATCTGCAGATGAGAGTACACTAACTGCTCCGGTAGCTAGTAGAGTAAGAATCAGCGATGAAGCTGCATGTCGTCAATGAGGTGATACGTCATGGGCTATATAGAAAGGTGAGGAGCAATTATTCCACCAATAGACGCCCTCGCGCTCACCAACCCCGCTGAGGCTCTGTTCGAATTTACCGACGGCTGTTTATGGGTTGTATTTGAGTATAAACAGAGGTATCAACTTATTCTAGATAATTGTTTCTCGATCCGTTTTAGTGGATGTTTCTTCCAGCTTGAGTTTAATTCAAGGGGCGAAGGACTTCACCAGAGTACTTATTGTAGGGGGATCTTGTATGAGCTTATACATCGCAGCTATGGAACTAGGTAAACGATGTATCATCCTCACAATAACCAATACTAAGGTACTACACAGTCAGATGCCCATCCATCCGTTACTGGGACTCAGCCTTCTCTTTCACAGTGTAGGCCGGAACTGGAACATCATCCGCCTCGTGCTTCAGGTCGCTCTCTCCCATCTCACCGTTCCATCCATTTTCAACCAGATATTGTCGGAACTTCTCGTCACTCTCTGCCAAATCATCACCCTTAATGTCAGGCACGAAGAAATAAGTGACAATTACACCAACCACACCGCAGATAGCAGCGATAATAAAAGTCCACTTCTTCCCGAGGTTTGTCTGGATTGGCGTGAAGGCTTGGGTGCCGACGGCTGCACCAACCTTACCCAGAGCCGCGCTGATTCCATAGCAGGTTCCACGAACGCTGGTGGCATAGCTCTCGGAGGAGAGGAGACCGAGCATGTCCCCGGGGCCCATGTTTCCAGAGCTCTGCATGAGACCGTAGAACACGACAAACAGGGCAGTGATTTTGGTGATCTGATCGTAAGCGCAGCCAATGATCAGCCCAAAGACAAGATACCCTGTGAAGCCGATCATCATGGTGTTCTTGCGCCCGACACGGTCGCATAAAAAGGCACCCAGGAACACACCAGGGAGGGCGATCGCACCGAGAAGCAACTGCCATTCTGCTGTGTGGAGAAGACTGTTTCCTCCTGATGGAACAACAGAGGCGAGAATGGTGCCGGAGAAGACGCCGTTGGGGAAAGTGACAAAGTCATAGAGGAACCAGGCGCCACAGGTGCCGATGAGAGTCTTCCAGTAGTAGCGTAGAACGAGGAGATAAGGTACTCGTCGCTTGATAGCACCGGCACGGTATAGCTTCGAGTTGATCATTTTGAGTCGGAAGTAGAAGACGCTCAGGGGCAGGATGATGCCGATGCCAAAGCAGACTCGCCATACTGTCGATAGATGGTCGGCCCCAGCAGCGGATAGGACGATCATGAAGACGGACACGGCGAGGGGACCTCCGAAAGACAAGGGAAGGTTGGTTACTAGAATGAAGATGGGGCCGCGGTTTTTGGGGACATGCTCATTGGCGGACTCAGAGGCGGAGGTACTGCTGGCAGGATACTCGCCACCAGCACCGAATCCAACAATACCGCGGGAGACTGTGAGCATCCAGAACATGCCGTCGATAGTCGTCCCATGGGAGGCGGTGGCAAGAATACCACCAATGACAATACAGAGTGTTGTCAGAACAATTGCTGTTTTGCGGCCCATGTAGTCGCACGTGAGACCGATCGCGACCTGGCCCAAGACTTCTCCTACAAGCAGGGCGTTGGATACTCGAGTGCTGACCGTGGAGGTGTATTCGACTGGGTATTCCTGCTTGAAGAGGACGTTTGACATGGTCATGAGGTTGTTTTGGTAGCCATCTGAGATCAAAGCCGCTCCGGCGCAGATAATTGTAAAGATATCGGATATGCGCTGGCGAGTGTCTGACACTTTTTTCGAGCCACCCTCTGTATCATTGTGTTCCGATGATGAGTTTTCGGCAGACATGCCTGAGGTAGTAACCTCGTTCGTAATCTTTTCGGCCATGGCTTTGTTAGAGATTAGCCTCTATTGAGACAGCAGATATA